CTTCTGGCTGGGGTCAGCCCACAACAGCAGGATAGAAGAAAAATCCATTAGGAACACAGTCCCTGACTAATGAGGTTTTGAGGTCTGAGGGAATGAAGTGCTTTTTCCAAACAGCAAAGCAGTAGGAGGTATGTGTTCAGCCACAGAGGTAAGGAGTGGGAGGACAGAGCTGGGGCTGCTTAACCTTGAGAAGGAGAGGCTTGCGGAGGGCACAGAACACTTTACTGAAGCGTATGAAAGTCTTATAAGAGGGGTAAAGAATATGAAGCTGGACTTTTTCTCAGTGCTATTCAGTAGGCATAAACAGAAACACGGAGCATTTCATTCAACATATGAAAAGCACTTTTCCCCATGAGTGTGGCTGAACATTGAAACAGGTTGCCCAGTAAGGCTGTGGAGTCTCTAACCTTGACGAAACCCCAAGCCCATCTGGGCACAGCCCTGGGGAATGTGCTCTCACTGCCCGTACTCTGATCAGGAGTCTGGACCAGTGGAGCTCCAGATGTGCCTTCCAGCCTCAGCTCTGCTGTCATGCTGTGAAATTTCACAGGTGTTAAGCAGTCCTCAGTTTTGTGGATCAGGTGCCTAAGCACAGTGTATGTATAGATATTTGGAATACCAGAGAGCTTCCTCAGATGAAACTGTAATGGGAGGTTCAGGTTGGATATTAGGAAACATTTCTTCTGAGGAAGAGTGGTGAGGCATTGGAATGGGCTGCCCAGGGAAGTGGTGGTGTCACTGTCCCTGTTCAAGAAATGTTTAGATGTGGTACTAACAGATATAGTGGGCATGGTGGGAATAGGTCAGTAGTTGGACTAGATGATCTCAGTGGTCATTTCCAACCTTTATGACTCTATGATTTTTTCCATCTGTTCAATTACCCTTTAATCCTGGATTCACACAGAAAACTAGAGGTTGTTTTATAACAAATTGCATTTTTGAATATTTTTTTCTTGATCAGAGTGATTACACTGATCTTTTTTGTTTGGACCTGCAGCCTTTCCACTGACAAAAAAAGCACTTCTGTTTCAGCATTAATGCAAAGCAGAGAAACCTGTCTGTTAGTACAGCATCACTGTTTTGGAGTGTGGTCCTGGGCCAGCTGGGGCTGTCAGAGGCAGCAGCCTGGAAATGAGCCGAGTGCTTCCAGGCTGATATACAGAAGGCCAATCCTCATCTGGGAGAGCAAAAATGACTTTACAGAAATTGAGACTGCACTAAGATATATGTACTGTTAGTTCAATACTCACAGATCTCTGCTGGAAACAGCGTAAAAAGATAGGCTTTACACGAGCACTACTTCGTAGAAAGAGATCTAGTAAGTTTCATTCACAAACACTAAAACTAGCATTTCAGAAGACTCATTGTGCTGATTCCACCTGCTCCTTAGGCACACCTGGCTCCTGTCACTGCTGGCCTCCCAGTGAGCATTCCTGAGTTGTTGAACAGGTTGCTGGTCCCTGGCTGCTAGGGATGGGTCCCTATTAGCCTGCTTAAACTATGTGCTAATTCTTGCTCTTCAGGAACATATTTTATTGACAACAATTAGATTGCTTGATTAGGGAAACTGAAGTGGGCCAGCTCTTCTCTGCATATATCAGTGAAATATATGTAGAAAAAAATAAAAAATAGTGTCCCTAAGGAAAGCAAGAAATTTGGGGGAGGTATATGGCATAGTTACATTGCTGGCTACTTTAATAGAAAAGAACCTGATTTTTCCCATGATTGAGTTATGTCCGGACTTCAAAAAGTTGCTCACAGCTTTACTGTCTGAAGAACATGCAGAGAAACGCTCTGTAGCGTTTCCATGCAAGCTGAGTAGCACTTTTTTTCTTTCTTTCTTTCTTTTTTTTTTTTTTTGCTGTTTTGGTGTGTGTGTGTGTAGGTGCATGGAGCGTGATCTGTCTGCCTCCTGCTCTTTGGATTCTCATCAAAATCCAGGAACAGGAGGAGGCTGAGCCCTGTGAGCGTGGCAGTGCACACAGAGCTGTTGCATGAGCCGCCAGTGCCGCACGCTGTGTTTCAGCACTCTCTAGTCACACATGATGATTTTTTTCACTCTGAATATTTTACATGTCTGTTGACTGTAAAGATAGCTTGGGGGCAGGGGGCTGGTGTTGAATATATTGAAAGTTGCATCTTTCTACCTTAAAAATGAGGACCTAATCGGTTATTGCACTGAGGAAGATAACATTACTGTGCCAGACACCTTCAGAGCAGTCACATTTATTGCAAACAAATCAGCAGGGACTCACAAGCGTTCGGCTGGTGCTCCTGTGGTTGTGCTGCACTTCCACAGCACAGCTCACCTGAGGGCTCTTCCACGTGCCTCAGAAGACCTCGGCCACATTCCTTCTCGTACCCTGGATTGAGCAATCCCACGTATACGATAGAATCCATGTTTTAAGGTCGATGCTGTATTTCAGCTCCCTGCATCAATACAGTGACCTGACTTCTCACAGTCCTAACGAAACGCTGAGGCAGCAACTAGCAGCTTCAAGCATCGAGCCGACTGAACCCCTGCCATAACGCAGTGCTGTGAGCATCCTGCACATGTTTTCCTGGGATGTCAGCAATACCAGCAAACCGGCGCTAGGGACCAAAACCCGCGCGGAAAGGCTTCGCTCTACAATAAGGCTGAAGCGCAGCGCCAACACGCTGTCAGGCTGCACGGAGGCATCGGCCCGACACAGCGACAGCTCGGATGATGCCCGCACCGCGGGGACCTGCCGCGGCCTCGTGACGGCCCCGCGATGTGACCTCAGTGGGTATCGCCCTGCAGGAGGCTTTTCCTCAGCCTCCCGGAGTGCCGTCGCCAGCCCCGTGCTCTGCCTCACCTCGGGAGACCGGAGACGTGACCCTCATTTCCCACCTACGGCTGATTCGCTTCCCGCTGAAGCCAGCGCTGATCGTCGCCCCGCTGTCACTCACCCTCCGCCTGCTGCAGCCCCGCCGCTTCCCGACGCGCCCGGCCCCGGCCCTTCGCAGGGCACGGCCGCCGGGACCCTGCCGCAGCGCCGCCGCCAAGCCTGCGGCACAGCCGGGGCCGCCGCCGCCGCCTCCCCGGGAGAGGACGGGGCGGAGAGGAGGGGCCGCGCCGCCGCTCCCGCCGCAGCCGCTCCCTCCCCGCGGCGGCCGGGGGCGGGACGCCGCGGCAGCGCCAGCGCCGCTGTCAGCGCCCGGGGGCTGGGGGGGCCCAGGCGGCCGCGGGCTGCTGCGGGAGCCGCCGGCCGCTGACAGCCGTTCCGAGCCGCCGACGGCCGCTCCGCGCCGAACCGAGCCGCCGAGAGACGCTCCGAGCCCAGCCGCCGAGAGTGAGCCGCCGCAGCCGCGCGCGCGGCGCGGACCCCGGCGGCGGTGAGTGAGGCGGGAGCTTGGCCACGGCCCCTGGGGGCGCGGCGGGGACGCGGCGGGGCTGCCCGGCCTGCGGGGAGCGCGGCGGCGTCTAACAGGTTGCGGCGGGAGAGGGGTGCGCGGCAAGCGGGCTCGGGCTCCGGCTCGGCGCAGCGGGAGCGCTGCTGCTGCTTCAGAGGGTGGTTGCTGGAGCCGCGGCTTCAGCCGGCTGTAAGCCGGCACCCCGGGGCTGCCGAAATGTCAGCGCATCCAGTTGTTTATCTCCAGCCCCGCTCGGGCTTTAAGAAGGAATGCCCGTGAGGAAATAGGGAAACTTTGCTCTTCTGAACGGGGAGATGGGAGAATGTAAACTAGTTTGGGGCATCCCTATGGTTCTGAAGGTGATTTTACCTCCCCAAAGTGCTGCTCCTCAGGCTGCTGGGCCGGTGACCCCTGCTTGAAATCACCCCATTCATAAAGTTGTCACAGGGCTGGCACCTGCTTCTGTCGACTGTTAGCTGTCTCTTGTGTTTTTTGCTTTGTCGTCTGCAATGTATGTGTTATGTGATGCTGTTAGTTCTGGATGTTTACTAAATGCTATCTGAACATGCAGAGAGCTTTCATTCTTCTGCTTTTAATGAACCCATAATTCCTTGTAATTTCACCGAAATACTTCTGATTATAGAGTTAGGTCATTTTGAAGGAACTACCTAAGGATAGACATTGTAATCTGAGCTGTTTGCAAGTTTCCAAAGTGAGACTCACCCACAGTCCAGGAAGGGATGGATAACAGCCTGCTGTATTTAGGCCTTTTGCTGGCACTGGGGTTTGATTATTTTTTCCTGCAGGGTAGATGACATTTGCAAAAATCTGTACTGTTCACTTGAGCACACTGTATCCTTCAAGGAGCGTACTGTAACAAACAAGCAATATTATTAGATATTCCTTTTTTTTTTTTCCTTCCTACATTTTGAGTCCCCTTGAATAATTGCGGTGTTCCACAGCACAAAGGCCTTATATCTTTGTGAAAACAAAGTGCTTCAGCAGGATGAAACAACCAATTTGTTGTGTGTAAAAGAAAAATCAAATGACAAACAGCTGAAATGTTAACCATACCCCACTCCATTTTTCTGCAGCTGTTCTACATAAGTCGACAAGTTTCAAAATACAGCTTTCATATTTGTAGAACATAGTGCTCAAGGCACTCTTCTTTCCTGGTTTTGAAAATGTGCTTAATTATTCGTGTGCTCCCTGAAGCTGATGAAGAGATTTCTACAGGCTTCCCTGGGTTGTAGGAATTACCTCTAGGAACTTTTCCATCATGTCATTCCTTCATGTAAGTAAAAGTTCCTGATGGGGTGATGCCTGTGAGCATCTAGGGGGTGAGGCAGTAGGAGCCTTCACTGCGCTCACTGACTTGTTCCATTCTCATATAAAGAGAAAGGTTCAGTCCAGGTGTAGCATCAGAATTTGTGAAATATGTGTTGTGTATTGCGGAACATGGGTGGAAAGGTACATTGAGTTTCCTGTAGCCTGCCTTGTTCTCACATGCCGTGTTTTCATGCCCTGCTGCTGAGCTGTGCCCTTAAAGAGGTAATAGAGAAATGCTTGAGAAATGTTCTTGGTATGTGTAACGTTGTGCATTTGTATCTTTACACACAGACAAAGAGCAGCTCTGAAGTACCTGAGGATGGATAAAGACTTCCGCTACTACTTCCAGCACCCGTGGTCTCGCTTAGTTGTGGCTTACCTCGTGATCTTCTTCAACTTCTTAATATTTGCCGAGGACCCGGTGTCTCACAGTCAGACAGAAGCCAATGTGATTGTTGTTGGGAACTGCTTCTCCTTTGTAACCAACAAGTACCCCGAGAGCGGCGGCTGGAGATGCCTGAAGGTGCTGCTGTGGCTGCTGGCCATTCTCACAGGGCTGATCGCTGGGAAATTCCTCTTTCACCAGCGCCTCTTTGGTGAGTTCTGCGATGTGCACACAGACCTCCTACTGATGGCTCAGTCACTTGCCTTTAAACTGTCCACTTACTGCAATTTTGTAAGCTTTGCTATTAATCGTTTCAGATATTTAGAGCTGCATAGAGCTCGGTACATCAAAGCTTACATTGCTGTGGAAATTAATGCCATGTCTGCTTATGTGAATGTAATTTAGAGTAATTTCAGTCACAAAAGGTCTGAAAACAGAGAAAGCTGACGTGTTTGAAATAATTGAGAGATGGGTGATTTAAAATATTAAGAAAGTACTTTGTCTTCAAAGCAAATTTTAAATCTTATACGATTTTCTCAGCAATCTCAGCAAAAAGGCGTTGTTCCTTGAGACACTGACACTGAATGTCTTGTCAGAAGTCCCATAAGTGGAATGTGGGGAAGTGGTTAGTATTAGCAGACTTGCGATAAGAAAATCCTGCATGAAAACAGGAGCTCTGCAGAAACAGGAGCTGTCCTGCCACTTCTTGGTACAAGAACAAGTTAATGAAATGGAAAGGTAGGAAATGGAAAAAAACTTGACAGCAAGTGTCTTTATGCAGGAGGTGTGACTAAATTGGGAAGCATACTGCCCATGGCATGGCTGAAAGGAAGGGAATGACCTCAGACTAAATTCTGAGACAGAGAACTTTGGTGTAGGCATGTGTAGAGAGAAAAATATCTATCATTGTCTTAACTGAGTCATGTAGTAAATGTAGAAAACATTGCATCTGAGGGCTCGAGGCTGTTCCAGTTTTAGAGATAAGTGGAAATCAGGAAAGGTTACTTCAGTCTGCCAGCTGCAAGTGTTTGATTCTGGATATGTCAGAGAGATGCTGCTGGAGTGGGTGGGCCAGTCCTGTGCTGCAGGATGGATGGTTACTGAACACCTCACAGCACATGAGTAATTGGCCATTTCCTCAGCCTGCCTCATTCTATTAAGATAAAAAGAGGACTGGTATTGTTTCAATAAATCAAACGTAAAGCTATTATGTCAAGGAACAAATAAGAAAAACAACTCTAAGAGACTTCGCTTCAAACATGAATTCTGAAAAATGGTTGAGCATCTTCATAGCTATTTGGTGGACATTTTAACATAGTGTGGTGGTAAGGGCAAACATCCCCATGGAGAGGGTGTTTTACCATAGTTTCTGGGCGCTGCTTTGAGCACTGCTGTAATGATTCAGTTCTGCCTTCCAAAATTGAGGAGTGATTTTGTTCATTTGGAGAAAATTAGGGAAAGTAATGAAAGTGATGACAAAATTACAAATTGAGCCCTATAACGAGAGGATTTAGAGGATAAAGGAAAGGTTAGAGAGTGACTTGCTCAAATTTGAGTTGAAGGACAGAATCTTCAGTCCAGCAAATATATTGCAAGGTCCAGTGCTTGGAAGTGGCAAATAGCCAAAGAAACAGGTTTTTTTCTTTCTGTAATTGGAAGGCTACATGATCAGTGGAATAAGGAATAGGCTCGAGTATCATCAAGACAAGTGAAATTTTCTTTTGCAGAATATGTTCTATTCTGCCTAGGTTGATTATTATGATAATTCCTTCTGGATCTGTAAGCATGTATCACAGAGAGGACATAGCTTAATGTGAATTTTAAAGTGGCTTGAGTCAGCATTACTGCCTGAAGAAAGCTTTCCCTACCTTCCATGTCTGCTGCATGTTTGTGCTCTTCTGCAGTTGCTCAGAGAAACAGGTTTGGGAGCATAGGCACATTTGCAGTATCCACCTTTTGTTTCCGTGGGGATCATGTCTCATCCCACAGATATTTGTGGCAGCACAAAGAAGGATTCAATGCTGGGAGGCAGCAAACAGCCAAGAGATTCCTATCTGTGATGCAGTGCTGGCTTATGGATGTTTATGGTTGTGGTCTGGAGGAGTGATAAGGGTGTAGATGCGATCTGATCCAGGCTAGCTGCTGCAAGCTCAGTTTCAGAGCAGTTTAAGCCAACATGGCTCTGCCCCAGTCCCACCCAGCTGTGGATTTTGGGCCTGCCTATAGCCAGCACTGCTATGAATGCAGCTGAGCAGCAAGCCAGCCTGGGCAAGCAGTGCTCATGGAAAACCAGTTGCTTCTGCCATCACTTGAGTGCCAATGCTGATGCCAAGGACGGTGCAGCCAAATAGCCAGAGGCCATGGCAGCCCGGCCTCATGTTGACTCTGGTGCTGTGGGATGGTGCCCATGCAGTGTGGCCATGTGCATGGGATGCTGCTTGTGATGTACTGAGAGCAGATGGTGGCCTGTGTGACTGACAGCCTGTGTGACTGACAGCCTGACTGCGTGCTGTGTGATATGGCCATGCCAGCTGTAAACTGGCATGTGTGGAGAGTGACAGTGTCGATGTGATGATGATGTGGGCTTCAGAGGAGGCTTTTAGCTTGAGTGTATCTTTTTGGTCTTCAGAAGATTTGCATAGCCCATGCTGAAATCTGTCTTGACAGTTACTTGACAATATTTTAAAGTCTTTACTGCCTAGAAATCCCACTTTGTGTCCAAATCCCACTGAGTACGCCTTCTGGATCTTCTAGCTTCAAGCACTTCATACATTCAGTTCATTATTGCTTTTAATTTCCTTATTTCAAAAGGAAAAGAGATAGATATTGCAAAATATTTGTCTTTTCATATGGATTTTTCTTTGTCTGTTCTGTTTTTTTTTATTTTTTTGTGTGTATAATTGTTGGGCATCATTTTTTTTTTCTTTTTCTTTTTAGTCCTTGTATATTTATTTATATTTCTCTGTTAAATTCTGTTGGCAGAGGAAATTGGGACTGGTTGTTTTCTTGTAGCCTGCACATACTTTCCTGCTGTCGGGAAACCAAATAGCACCAGTCAATCTCCCTGTGTCAGATCTTGGCTCACTGTGTGTGCTGCAAATTGAAATTGAGAAGGATTAGTCTGCACATCTCACTTTAGATGAAGAGGACTGTAAAGGATTTTCTTTCCATGTGCCCTTCCTGCTCTTTTGTCCCTTGTCTTCTGTATTTCTTGCTGCTGAATGTGCATTTGGACTAAAATTGCATTGCGAGAGCTGCATTGTAACATAGTTTACCATCTATAACAGACTATCTAATAAACATGGCTGTTGTGAACTACAAAAATAATAGGATTAAGCTCAAGCATGTTATGTTCCTAAAAATGGAAGGAGAAGGGTGATAGCCTAAACATTATTTAAACATTCTGAGAGTACGTAAAGATAAGGCAGTGGGTAAACCATGCTGTTGCAAAGTGGAAATCATGACTAAAGGGTGTGGCAAAGTATTTTCAGTTGGTAATACTCATTGCTACCTTAGAACAGTAACCTCTTTGGGCAACTTCAAGACACTGCTCATGACTTAGAACTCTCCATTCTTGCTTTTCAGTCAGAAAGCAACTTACTTCATTTAATAAACATCTCCAGTGATAAAGATTTCCAAAGAAAGCAGCCTTCATCTAATGCATTCTATATATTTTCTTGGCATGTGATCAAAACAAATGGAATTTTAAAATTGCCTTTTGGCTGTTATCCACTATATTCTTTTGATTCATCACTAAGCATATCTTGTGTTTGGTTAGCTGTCGTGTTCCGTTGTGCTTTTTATTTTGCACTGGAAAATGAGGGGTCATAGATGAATATTGGAAGTTTGGGGGAATAAAAATGTACACCCTAGTCATTTCTTATTCTCTGTGAGTTACTTGGGGAGGAGAAAAGTATCTTCTTTGCCCTTGCTTAGAGATTTATTGGTTTATTTTTTGCTTTATTAAAAGCAGAACAAGCTTAGAAACTGACCCCATTAGATGACAGTGTGCATTCAGAAAATGCATTCAAATCTTACATACTTACTTAAAAGAAATTCATGAATAATCTCTTCATATTGCTTGGAGGCACTGTCTGGAAAATAACACAGTGTTCAGTTTGTAGAAAGTGAATGTTTTAATCAGCACCTTCTCAACATTTGTACAATTGCTGTTCTGTACTCAAGCCTCGGGCCCAAATTCTGAGTTCAGTGGGGGACTTTTTGGTTCTAAGTTCAGGCTGTGTGTTTTGCATCAATGTGTATATATCTATTACATCTTGTAAATCTAAAATGGTTTTTGATTTATATAGATTTTTAGCAGCGTAGATAAATAAGAAGTATTATTGGACAAAGTGTCTTAATTGTTTTCAGTTCAACATTTTTGCTTTGACTGATTTCCATGAGTAATAAAGCTTAGCTCATGCTGCAGATTTACTGAATCCGTTTTTCAAAGTATAATTAGTAAAAAAATGTGCAGGTATGTGCCTGCTTGTTTTTCTGATTCTAAATGATTATAAAGTCCACTTGAACTCTGTTATTACACAGATTTAATTTCATTCAGTTCTTAAGGAGTATGCCCAAATATTTAAGTTCACTTAAAAAAAAATGGATGGAAATTAAATGCTTAATATGCTATAACAAATTATAGAAAACAAGGTAAACAGAACTAAAGCTGTATTTCTTAAAACAGGGGGGCCAGCATAATATTGCAAGCAAATCCGAGCAGTTGAAAGAATGTTGAATTTAATGGATTCTCTCCTACAAATAATTGCGGTATGCAGTTTGCCTAGAATTAAATGATAATCTCAGTTATGTAGACATGGGAAGGAATAAATAAAGCAGTCATTATGGGAATTGCACTGAGAATTGCATGCACTAACGTTGCAAATTTTTTAATGGGCAGTGGTGCCATGCTGGGACCAATTTCACGACAGACAGCTTCAAACAGAACACCCACTGAGGACCTGTTGTCTGAAAACATAACTCTTTTTGTCAAACATTTTATCTGAAAGGCTTTAAAAGATATTGCAAACCTATTATAAACACTCTTCAGTGTCTGTTTTTACGCTGAGAGGTAAAAGAGTCTAGCAACTGAAGCAGTGAATGTATGCAGATTGCAAGAGGAAATTAGGCAGATGGGATTTAGTCAGGATGATAATGTACTACATAGGAGAAAAGTGAATCTGTTATGCAGCTAACTGACAAAGGATA